GGGGGGGCGGGGGGCACCAGTAAGGGATGGAGTGTCCCACTGGGGGCACCAGTAAGGGATGGAGTGTCCCAGGGGGGAACTGGGGGAGCTGGGGGCACTGGGACCCCCAGTAAGGGATGGAGTGTCCCGGGGGGGAACTGGGGGCACCAGTAAGGGGTAGAGTGTCCCACTGGGGGCACCAGTAGGGGGAGAGTGTCCCAGGGAGGAACTGGGGGCGCTGGGGGAACTGGGACCCCCAGTAAGGGTTTGGGTGTCCCAGTGGGGGAACTGGGGGCACTGGGGGAACTGGGACCCCCAGTAAGGGGAGAGTGTCCCAGTGGGGGAACTGGGGGCACTGGGTGAGCTGAGGGCACTGGGACCCCCAGTAAGGGATGGAGTGTCCCAGTGTGGCCACTGGAGGCACTGGGGGAACTGGGGGAACTGGGATACTCAGGAGGGGGTGGAGTAGGAGATGGGGGCACTGGGACCCCCAGGAAGGGGTGGAGTGGGCACTGGGGGAACTGGGACCCCCCCCAGGATGGGGAGGAGGGGGAGATGGGGGCACTGGGACCCCCAGTAAGGGGTGAACTGGTCACTGGGGGCACTGGGACCCCCCCAGTAAGGGGTGGAGTGGGAGATGGGGGCACTGGGACCCCCCCAGTAAGGGGGGAGTGTCCCAGTGTTGGCACTGGGGGCACTGGGGAGACCCCCAATGGGGTTTGATGCCCCCCCCCAGACCCCAAATCTCCCCCAGACCCCAAATCCCCCCCAAATCCCCCCTTTCCCCCCCAAATTGGGTCGGGGGGGGGTGTAAAAAAATGGGGGAGGGGCTTGTGACCCCCCCCCTTTTCCAAATTTGCCCCTCCCCCTCCCCCAAATGACCCCTCCCCCCCTTTTCTGCAGGTGACCCCCCCCATTTTGGGGGCGGGGCTGTAAATATGTAAATGAGCCATTAAATTGGGGGCGGGGCCAGGCTGGTTTGGGGTGATGACATCACAGGGTGATGACGTCATGGGGGTGATGACGTCACTGGGAGGGGCAAAGGGGGGGGGGGGGGGGGGGGGGGGCTCGCCCCCCCCCAAAGTGCCTAAAAGTGGAGGGGGCGGGGTTAAAATATGTAAATTATTCAAATTTATGTAAATAGGGGTTAAGGGGGGTGGGGGAGGGGAATTTGACCTTTTGGGGGGTTTTTTTTTTTGTTGTTTTTTCCCCCAAATCCGGGGGGGTCAAAGGGCGACTTTGGGGTTTTTGGGGTTGTTTTGGTTTTTTTGGAAAAAAATAAAAATCTTTGTTTCAATAAAAACCTTCGGAAAAAAAAAAAAAGGAACCGGAAAAAGGTCGGGAATTTCCTTGGGGGGGGGGGGGGGGGGGTGGGGGGGAAAATGGGGGGGAAAGGGGGGGGGGGGGATCTATAGGGGATGGGGATCTATAGGGTTAATTAGGGGTCTGGAGGGTTAATTAGGGGTCTATAGGGTTAATAGGGATCTATAGGATTAATTAGGGGTCTGTAGGGTTAATTAGGGGTTTATAGGGTTAATAGGGGTCTCTATGGTTAAATGGGGATCTGTGGGGTTCCAAAGGGACCTGTGGGGTTAATTAGGGCTCTATAGGGTTCACCAGACCCCTATAGGGTCAAACAGACCCCTATGGGGTTAACCAGGGCTCTATAGGGTTAACCCCCCCCCCTCAGTCCCGCTGTCAGATCCATAGGGGAGGGGGGGGGGCGTTTCCTCGGGGGTTAAGTGGAAAATCCATGGGGTCAGTGAAAATCCATAGGGTCAGTGAAAATCCATAGGGTCAGTGAAAATCCATAGGGTCAGTGAAAATCCATAGGGTCAGTGAAAATCCATCCGGGAATTATGGGAAAATCCACCAAATCCACGCCGGGATGAGACCCCGCCCCCAAATGGGAAAATCCACCAAATCCACCCCCATGGAAACCCCGCCCCCAAATGGGAATGAGGGGAACACGGTCACTGAAGGGATCCATAGGGGGGGTCTATAGGGACAGGGATCTATAGGGACAGGGATCCATGGGGACAGGGATCCATAGGGGGGTACATTTATAGGGGGGGAATCCATAGGGGTTTATAGGGATCCATAGGGGGTGGTGAATCCATAGGGGGTGATTCCATAGGGGTTTATAGGGATCCATAGGGGGTG